CCCCCCCCCAGCCCTGCTGAAGCCTGCAGAGGGCTCCTGGGGGGGCAGGGAGGACAAAACCTTTTTTTGTCTTACTTACCTCTTCGGAATCTTCGTGCGTCTTATATATCGGTGCGTCTTATAGTCCAAAAAAATACGGTAACTGCCAGAAACTGGGGGAAAAGGCAGAAAGTCTTTTGATGGGGTGGCTCCGGGAGGCTGCCAACGACCATAAATGCGAGACCAAAGGCCTAAAACATAAAGATGTGTCCTTTGGGGTGGGGGATGGGACGGTCAGAGCTTCAGGTCCTAAGTAGCTCTGGGGAAGCCTGTTGTAACTCTGAACTCCAAGCGGTGGGTCACGTAGGAGACAAAACTCCTTTGCTGGTTTCCCAACTCAGCCGGGCTTTTAAATCTTCCAGATATTGATGAATGCGAGCGAGACCCTCTCCTGTGCCGGGGAGGGGTCTGCGTCAACACCGAGGGCAGCTTTGAGTGCCTTTGCCCTCCGGGGCACGAACTGACTGCCGAGGGCAACGTCTGCGTAGGTGAGTCGTCCCTTGGAGACTTTTGTTACGAGGGGGGGGGGGAATGGGGCAGTGGTCGGTTTCGGCCGGTACTGGGAGCAGCAGCCGCCGTACTGACACAATGGCTCGTTCGGCCCACTCACCCGCCCGCATTCCATACCTGTTTTTGAGGCGACCGGGTGAATTGTGTGCGGCGCCTGCACGGCCTCCGACGAGCAGCTAGGTGTCACAGGGGCGGTGAAGTGTGCATGCATGCGCAGTGCACGTCAGGCGTGTGCACAGCACACGTCCGGCGTGTTCATGACCAGACGATGAGCAGCGTACCGGTAGTGGCGGTAAGAGGAACCCACCAAGAGGAACGGGGAATATTCAGGGGAAATGGGGACGAAGCCCCTCTTTGCTAACTTCGGGGCTTCCCTGGAATCCTCTTTGCTGGGGGGGGGGGGAGGGAGAGCACAGCCGCCACGAAGGGATACTCCTGGTTCGCAGAACCAGTAGTAAAAAAAATACTAAGAAAAGTTTTTAAAAAAATGTTCTGACGATCGCACGTCACACAGCTGATCTTCGGAACTTAAAAAACAAAAAAACGTTATAAGCATTTTTTTTTTTGCTACAGGTTCTCCAGAAATGCGGAGTGGGGGGGTGTCCGTTTTTACTCCCAACAGGCTTCCCTGAGGCCCACTAGGCCAAAAGCATGGAGTGAGGGGTGCTGAGAAAGAAAGAAGGAAGGAAGGAAGGAAGGAAGGAAGGAAGGAAGGAAGGAAGGAAGGAAGGAAGGGCAAAAAAAGAAAAAGAAAAGAGAAAGAAAGAAAAAGAAAGGAGAAAGGGAGGGAGGGAGGGAGGGAGGGGAAAAAGGAGAGGAAGGAAGGGCTATAAACCGGGCACCAGAGGCAGCTTCAGAGGAGAAGCAGGACATGGTTAAAGTGAGTCCTTTGAGCCCCCAGTTACGTGACTACATAGCCACGCCCACCCAGCCACGCCCACAGGACCTCTAGTAAGAAAATCTAGATTTCACCACTGACTGGGAGCCCCCCGTATGCCCCCAGCCAGACTGGAAGGGTCCAGAGCCTGAACTGGATGGATGAACCCATCCCAGTTCTTCTAATGCCTCATTGGCATCAGTGCCCGGTTCTTTGCCCAGTTTAGTGCCCCATCTAATCAGGGAATCACCAAGGATATCTCCGGTCACACTGGGAATAACCCCCCTGCCTTCTAGCACTGATAATGTTACCTAGCTGAGGAATGAAATGTCTGCAAGAAAACCACTGAGCTCAGAGAGCACCAAGGACCTTACAATCCAAGGGCCCTGCTGTTCTCCCCCTCCCCCCTCCTTCCCCTCCCCTCTCCCCTCCTCCTCGCCCAAT